GAGAGAGAGAGAGAGAGAGAGAGAGAGAGAGAGAGAGAGAGAGAGAGAGAGAGAGAGAGAGTATACGCGGGGCGGGGTGGAGGGCACCTCCTGTGGCGACAGACGCAAACAATTTGCAAGGCTAAAGAAGTAGCTGCTTGTCATTAGCGAGTCGTTGCCCTGAATCTGCGTATTGCCGAAAAGGGCGCAAGTGCGTTGACCTTTACATTTACCAGAATCGAAATTTCTCCCGTAAAAATGTGATGCTGGCCAATATCGAAAAATGTGCTCATCTGTTATGCACCCCGTTTGAACACGCTCGACCTGTTTCTTTTTTTGCCTCGAGGGTTTAGTGAGGGGTCGTTGCCGTCAATTCCCATTAGCCCTGTACGAAGGAATATTTTATATTGACTGAGCGACAGTGCAGCATACTCGAGTGATCATAAAGTTTCACGTCTGTCTGTTAGTTTGTAGTCGTAAAAATACATGCAGTATGTATCAACTTAAAATGCATTGCATTGACAAGTAACAGCTGTGCTCTCGAAAATTCACGACTTAAATTATAATTCGAGTTAACATTTTTTTTTTTAAATTTACGACGATATTTCTCACAGTGCCTAGACACTCGTCTGTGCTGTAATACTCTACGCAGCGGTCACGATGAAGAAACTCTTGCGACCGATGGGTGACGCTGGTGCAGCGAACCAGGGAGAGCAAAAGTTGTGCCGACACAAAACAAGCGATGAGCGAGCAGGCGAGGACGGTGCGGACGCGTCCTGCTTCTTTTCGCTCCCACCGCTTCGCCACGCGATGAGGAGGAAAAAGCAAACCTGGCGCCAACATTCCACCGCGTCGCCCCGACCAGGGTCGTGTGTAGTGTGGGTAGGGGTCGTTACGTATCGCCGTTTCCCGTTGCAGTAACGCTAACTGCGGCCATAACCGGGCAGGTGTGGCCAGGTGCGCGGCCAGCTGTGTCCCGGGGCGGAGGGCCAGGTGGGGCACCTGCCGAGGCACCTGCCGAGGCACCTGCAGGGCCACCTGCAGCCGGGGCTTCTGTGCCGCTGATCGCCACTAATTAGGTTGGCGGGGCGTTAATGAAATAAGGCGGGCCCTGCTCATAGAGAAGGAGGAGGAGAAGGGCGAGAAGAAAGGGAAAAACAAATCATTAAAAGGACTAAAACTGTATTAAAAGAGAACGTGCAAGAAAAA